CCTGATATCCACTTACGAGGACATTATACTGCTACTGTTCTATTCGAAATTTTAAAAATATCCTCATATGTGGCTCTTATTGTTCTTAGAAACAAAAATCAGGTAAAAAGAAAATCTGGTAATTCTTTGTTTTTACGTTCATCAGGTCCCAATATGCCCAAATATCAAAGAGAAATTAAAAATGCATGCCGTGGAAGAGTTTGGGTCTTAGGAGGTTCAAGTTAGAACACACCTGTGCACATCATCATCATCATCATCTCTGCTAACCTCCTTCATGTGTTTGCAGCTGTGTCGCAGATACGCAGGCTTCCTGCGGGTGGCGCTGTCGGACCCTCAGCCCGAGAGGAGGTGAGAACAAAAAAGTGCAGTCGCAACACCTGCATTAGCTCCTCCCAGCTTCATCTGCCATTAAAGGACTGATATGTAAAGTGTAGCAGATTGTTTAGTTGTTTATAAATAAACCAGATATATTTATATATGTGTATATAGGATAGGACATCAAACACACCGTGTATTCTTATCAATGCATGAAACATGCAAGTTTATAATCTGTTGTCCTTCAGTAAAACGTTCCTTGAAAGCGTCATTTCACTTGTCGTTTGCATTTTTTGTGTGTGTAGATGGAGACCAACCCCATCCTGAAGAACATCACAGATTACCTGATAGAGGAAGTCAGCGCAGAGGAGGAGGAGCTCATCGGCGCCTCTGGGTGCAACACCGATGACGCCGGTGACGTCAAGGACCCTGCCTCCTCTGACGTCACCTTGGAGACAGATGATAAGCTATTGAAGGTGGGAGGAGCTTCATGTAGATCAGGTGCTGCCTGCTTCATGTAAGCGTGTATTTACACGTGCGTGTGTGTACAGGTGCTGGACCGCCTGCTGCTCTACCTGCGTCTGGTTCACTCTGTTGATTATTATAATTTCTGTGAGTATCCCGCCGAGGATGAGATGCCACACCGCTGCGGGCTGATCCACGTTCGAGGACCCCTGCCTGTGGGCAAGATCACTGCAACTGAGGGTACGCACACGCATACACTGCAGATCAGCCGTTCATGGTATATTTCTAGGAAAACAGGAAAACAACTTTACGCAGGACACATAAAGTCCTTCTCACCTGTGAGTCCTTCTCACCTGTGAATAAGACACACTTACCTGGGGTGTCACAGCAGCCTTGGAACCTTTATGGAAAGTTTCGCGGTATGATGACCTGTAACTCGAACACATCACAACGTGTTTTTAGTTTATTTAATCTCAAGACACTGAGGCGTTTAGGGAACATCTGTATACTACAGCTCCAAATACACGGCTGCAAAGTTGACGTTAGTGTTGCTGTGCTCTGATTGGACAGTGAGTGAACACCAGCGGATGTGCGAGGAGCGCCTGGCTCCGCTGCTCTCGCCCTCTGAGACTCTGAGTGAGGAAGAAGCGACCAGGCTGGGGAAGAAAGACCCGGAACAAGAGGTACGACACACCGCCCGCCAACAGATGTGTCCCACATGTGCAAAAGGAAAAAGAAAAAAGTGCTACTTCCTGTTCCTTTCACAATAAAAGGCCTTCATATCCAACTACTGACTTTGAGATTATTAGACGACCTCCTGAGCTGCAGCTTATCACAAAACGATTCAGATCAAGTCTTGTCTTTGATTTTACAAGTTCTAATTTTGTTTTCTTAATTATTCCTCATCAACTACAAGAAAATGTTTTGGAAGAAGGAAGTAAATTCTCATAATTACTCATTAAAACAAGAAAAACACATGCAATGTTACCTTTTTATTATTATTATTTATTCATTTATTTTGCTGTCAAAATAAAATTAAACATTGTATTGTCGGCGTGTATATCTCCACTATAAGTGTTGTTAATTCAGGATTGTATTCATAATTCATTTGGCATTTCAGAAATAACAAAAAACAATAGAGATTTGCAGCTATAGAAGGAATGACCTTTTAACAGCGTACGACCTTTTCATAGAAACGACCATAAACGCAGTGTGTACATGTGAGTGTAAACAGTTGTTCCAATGATGAGCTCTCCTCCCTCCTCTGTGTGTCTCACCTGTGCAGGTGGAGAAGTTCCTGTCGGCCAACACTCAGGAGCTCAGCAAAGACAAGTGGCTGTGTCCTCTGAGCGGGAAGAAGTTCAAGGCTCCCGAGTTTGTGCGCAAACACATTCTCAACAAGCACGGCGAGAAGGTCTCTGGTGTCCGGCAGGAGGTTGAGTTCTTCAACAACTTCTTGTTGGACGCTAAAAGACCTGCCCTGCCTGAGAACAAGCCCCTCCCACCGCCTTCACCAGGTTGTGCCCCTGG